GTTTTTATTACGTTGATATAGGTACGTATTGCTGTGTTTTTATTGCGTTTCTTCAGGTATGTATTGCGGCGATTCAGAATTCAAATATCCGGGGACTGTCGCTAAAAGTTAATGGTCTATCGTGTTGGAAATATGCCCTACACCAAACCCAACCCTAAACCTACCCGATAGTGTTAACAAATGCAAAACTGATATAAAAACACATTTTTTGATGCAACCGTGCCATTTTAACTTCCTTATGTGCAGATTTGAACTGTTTTGTCGAACCGTAGTTACACGGGATTCGAAATGGAGCTCCTCACCTCTCAAGTACATCTCCGTACTCCGTGAGCTACCGAACAAACCTACCGTCTATGAAAACCCATTGATATGAAGCTGGATATGTGCGGTGCTAACAATCAAAAGCATCAGTTTTCAAATCTCCCAGCATATTAAAATTTTTTTGAAGTCACAACATAATACTCTTCAAGTAATTGTGCGAAAATTACGCTTTATTAATCGAAACTCTGTAAATCATACTCTGTGAAAATAATTTAAAAGGTTTCGGAGTTTTACTGCCTCTAGTGTTAATTTTTTTTGGAAACTGCAGTGATATGTACTTATTGGTACGTATTTCGCGTCTTGCAAAAATGTGCCCCCAGGTACGTATTTGCCATGAGACCGGGTAGGAATAAGTACAAAAATATTAGATGAAAACCTTAAAAATGACTTTTAAAATGAAAATCAGGAATGTTGCCTTGGCAACTAACTGAAATAAAATAAGCTGAAGATGAACTATTAAAAGTACTATGCCTAAAACTGAAATAAAAAAAATAATTAAAGCTAAATTGAAAATTTAAAAAGAAACTAATAGAAATGACAGAAGCACATAACAAAATTACTAAAAGTAAAATGAAAACGTAATATATACAAATGCTAATTAAATATATAAATAAATGTTATAATAGCATATAAATCATACAAAAATTATGTCATTTGCAGATCTGAAGAGACAACCGTTTTGGAGGCTTATTTTGTGTTCCCAAATGGCACAGCTCTTAACTATGATGCAGTGACCTCAATCCTGAATTCAGAGGAGGTCTATAAGGAATATGGATCCCAACTAACTCAGCTTGGATTTACTGGCATTGTGAGTGACCAAAAAACAAAGCAAAACAAAACAAAACAAAACAAAACAAAAACTAAAGTCGTTGTTCGACACATTAAGCTTGACATTTTTTCAAATTTCTTTTTTAATTTCCTTAACAGTCAACAACTGTTACCGAGTCTACAGAAGTGAAGGCAGAGGTATTCGTCATGATTGGTTTGATGGCTGCACTGGCGATCGTTCTTGTTGTAACAACCACCTCTCTCGTGTGCATCAGAAGAAAGTAAGAACTACTGAATTGCCCATATTGTTTGGTTTGCATGGTGCTTTTGGTACAGCTTATCAGTCTCTGTATTATACCATTCATTTGTATTTCCCCTTTTTAAATAATTTGTAATATTTAAAGGTCTAGAATTAGCCACCATGCCTCTGAAGTTGGATGGGAAGGCATTGCAGGTCATGTAGGGCGTATATACTATGAAGTCAACTTGCGTGATCCTGCCTGTCAGGCCTGTTCCCAACATCAGGCATGGAGCCAGTACAATGGCATTATGGAAGACCCTCTAACCTCAGTCTGGGTCACACACATTACAAATCTGCTAACCAGATTCAGCAGATTTAAAATAGCTCTTCTTGATGTGCACCCACACATATGCACAAGTTTCTTCATCCTGTCTGATGTGTGTCGGATTTGCAACTTATCACTGCTGGTCTCTTTCTAACCTTTAGTTACAAGAGGAAACTAAAGGCAGCCAAAGCCATGAATTCAGCAGCCTCAGAGGTCATAAAGAATCAGAAGACCGGCCCTGTTGTTCCTGGAACCAACAAATACACCAAAGAAGGGTAAGACATTGACTCATTGGCTGCCTAAAATGTTGACCCATTGTATAATTTTGAACAGGAATTCAGCAGCAGGCTGGTGTGTGAGATTGTCTGATATGTATTCCACAGAGCAAACCCAGTGCTGAATATGAATATTGACACGGCCACAGACCTAGGCTTTGATGAAGATGGCTCCAGCGCAGACAGAGAGAGGTATCATGATTGTACACTATAAACACTATTGAAAAGAAATTATGAAAAGATGTTCATACTGTTGTACTGCTCAGTCCATTAGTGAAGATTTTATAGACTCACCAACAAACATGTCTCATTTTATATCGTCACTGTCATTCTATTTTAAAACTGTGCTAAATTACCAAATTTATTGAATTACTAGGATATCAATTTATTAAAATGGCAGTTTGGGGTCAGTAAGATTTTGAAAGAAGGGTTTTGAAAGAAGTTTTTGAAATAAGTGTTTTATGCTTATTTAGCATAACAGTAATATTGTGAAATATTACGATTTAAAATAACGTTTTTATTTTTTATAAAATGTAATTTGTTCATGTGACAGCAAGACTGAAGACTGGAGTAATGGCTGCTGAAAATTCAGAGTCGCATGATCCTACAGAAATCATTCCTGCATTTGGTGCTCAAGAAATAGTTCTTATTATCATCAGTGTTGAAAACATTTGTGCTACAAAAGAACAGCTTTTATATTCAAATAAAACCTTTTGTAGCATTATAATGTTTTTACCGTCACTTTTGATTAAATTAATATATTCTTGCTGAATAAAAATATTAATTTCTTTAAAAAAAAAAAAGACCTCAAACTTTTGATTTGTTGTGTATAGATCAAGGGGCATGTGACACTTATTATTAATCCTACTAAATAATCAAACACTAAATCAACAGCCCTATTAGTTACATAATGCATCGTAATTGTCTGGTCTCTCCGGAGGCGGTTTGTGATTTAATGTAATTACATTGGACAGTGAGAGGTAAAATTTTATCTTACTTGCTCTGAAATGATCTAAACAAGATTATATCAGATTGCACATTCAAAAACTGACTTCACTGTAAAAGATGGAAGCCACTGACCTACAATGGAAGTTTTTGAAAGCATGTTTATCTTGTCATGGAAGCCCACATTCTGCCAGTGAACTTAAATGACTTCTACAAAATCTATTTAAGATACAGTATGCCATATCCATGACAGATAGCATCTGTTTGCACTGATCTGTGGGTAATGGTAGATTATTAGTTTCAGTAGCAGTAGTTTAAGTTAAATGATGTTGTGATGTTGGTGACCCCATATTTCTCAGAATCACACTAAGCTGTACTACATGCTAAATGAAGCATGTTTTTTATTTTATTTCAAGCTACATAACTGGTCCGAAATGTCTCTACTGGGAACATTTTTCCCCATAATGCCCCTCAAGTATTTATACAGAAGAGTGCAACTTTGTGAGATTCTGAATATGTGTGTATGCTGTGTGTTTGTTCTGTTTTAGCCTTAATTCCCTGGACTACAGCATTGATATGACCATGACAGAGAAAGACACTATGCCAATGATGGTAAATGTATTATTAAAATAAAGATAATATACAGTGGGGAGCAAAAGTCTGAGACCACTAGTGAAAGTCAACATAATTTGTGAAACAATGAACTGAAAAAATAACATGAATTGAAGGATTTCTTATCATTTGTCGTGTCACCTTTTTGCTTTAATAACAGCAGCACTCGAGCTGCATGAATTCCATTCCAAGTTTGTGTAAAACTTGATAACCATGTTCTCCAGCATGATTTGAGGCATTCGCGTCGTCACTAATTTGCTTATTTGATTGGTGACAGATCTAAAATATTTCTTATTCCATTTTGCAAAAAAAAAAAAAAATAATAATAATAAAAAATAGAACCTTAAAAGATAAGGTTCTCAATCACAGATTTTCAATGTGATGGCAGACATTTGAATTCCACAGTATTTCAAGCATATTTCCAATTTCTCTTATTGTGCAAAAAACATATTGTTCTATAAATGCTGGGGACACAACAGCAGAAATACTTCATAAGTTCTTTAACTGAGTATGTTTTGAGTACTTACGTTTTCTGTTGTGCGATAGGTAATTCAGGAGGAAGAGGAGGAGGATGAAAGGAGTGAATCACCATACATTGAGCCTCTGGGTGCTGCACTTGCCCAGCGAGAAAATAGGAGAGGTGCAGACAGTCCCGGTCTCACTTTTGCAAACCCTTCCATAGACACCACTGATCTCTAAGATTCAGTCTCTGACCTCCACCTATTTGCCATTTTTTATATGTGATCCTGCCAAAAAAGGAGAAAAGACTCACAGTATATTCCATTTGGGCAAACTTTAACTTTAAAGTTAACCCACTTTAAATCACCAATGCACTTTGAAATGTAAGAGAGAAAAAAAATCTCAGTGCACTAAAAACAAGCAGTAATTCAAACAGTATTTGAAGTTAAATTGTAGGCCTACTTACATTATTCTCTATTATTTTCCATCATTCTTTTTTCATATTCTGAACTTTTGGATTCTCCAATATGTAATACATGTTCCTTGATTGTATTGTTTTTTCATACAGAAGAATCGAACTCTCTTAAAAAAATATTATTTTCTGTCTCTAAACAAAAAAACTAAGCTGCATCAACAGAAACTAAACTAAAACTGCTTGTGTATCCTGCCAAATATTACCTAGCACTAGTCTGCTAGTTTAAGTCTGAGTCAAATCAAATCAAATCAAATTAAAAAAAAACTCATATCTTGCTATGCCAGATTGGTGACCAGGCTGTATATATATATCGTAAACTGTCTATATATGGTGTATTGTTATATGTTCTAAGTGCAATCATTCGATAGCATGTTCTGTGAATTAAAAAAAAAATAGTTAGGTATTTTTCTCTAATAAAATTGATCATATTATTAAAGTGAGTCACAAATCAAGTTTGCTTTTCCCTTGTAGACATGATTTAATTTCAAAACTATTCACTTTACAGTTCTCACAACAGTCACAAAACATCACAGGGAATGTAAGGCTTGAAGGTGGGCTTGTTATGGGTGTGCTGAGCTGAACTGAAAATACAAGACAAATCCATTGAATATTTACGAGGTTATACAAAAGCCAATTGAAAAAGAAGAGTCTGAAACTCAAAGAACACCAAACATTTTACTGTTGAAAAAATGAGAGACATCATCTATTACTTGTTGCCTGAAACACCAAGAATTTCTAGGGTCATTTTTGCCTAAGACACAGTACTTGGTACTGTCACTTTATAAATGTATTCTACTGGTCCTTAAATATACAAGATTAATTCATATTTTAAATATATAAATATCAAAGGTAAAGTTATTAGTGTAAAATATTGTAAAAGGGCACTTTAAAAGTGATCCTCACTGACCACAACAACATCAGGGTAGCACGGTCTCGACAGAAGCAAGCAAAAACACACTCAAAGCAACAAAGCTGGTATAGGAGCCATTTTAAAATCAAGAGCGAGGAGAAATCAAGACGACTGTATTTGTGTGCAGTGTATCAAACCAAACCAAAATTGATAATTATCCATATAGGAGCTTCTTGTGACGCAGTGTCAATACAAGTCATTATCAATGTCTTAAAGGGGCGTATCATCGAACAAAACCCAATCCTGTGCACATCCAAAATGCACAAAATTTGGAAAGATTGTCTATTAAGATGGTTTGGACCACCATGCCTTCCTTAGTTTTCCTCATCTTGACGTGGTCTTGAACAACAACTTGGCCGCCAGATGTTCCTGACCCACTGGCGAAAATGATTCTGCCGACGCCTGCCACTCTGCACCGTCTTTTCCTCACTTTGTCCTTTGGCCAGGCTGCTTTCACCAAGGTCTGATGTGGGGGGAGGACTGGAAGGCATCGACATAGATGTTTCGGTTGGGTTTGCTGGCAGAGCATCTGTAGGAGAGGGCAAGGCCAAAGGCTGTTTCTTCTGCTTCTTTACCTGTTTCTCCAGGTGCTTCTGAATGGCCGAACCCAGCACTGCCACCTCCATCACCGCACCATACACCTCCCAAGTCATTCCCTTTTCGTCCCAGCTCACCTCCTGCACAGGTTCTGGCACTTCTTCTGGTGTCACCCCGATCCGTGGTTCCGGCTCGGGAAAAACCTCAGGTGCGGTCAGAATGATCGGGGTCATAGGAGCAGTGGCAACGGAACAGAATTCCACCTGAGAGCTCACCTGCATCTCGGCATCTTTGGTCTGTGCCGCATCTGTACTACACTTGTTGGCGAGTTTTCCAAAGGTGCTTGGAAAAAGGAACGCTGCGGAGCCCTCTGGAGGAGTCATGGGGCTGGTGGCCACTGACTGGAACATCACCTCCAGGCTAACCTGGGTTTGCACGGTTTGTGTGCGTCCAGGTGACCGAGTCAAGGTGAGTGTTTCTTGCGAAGGCCGTCCAGAATCCTTGGACTCAGTTGATTCGGTTTTCTTCAGTTTTACCTCCAAATCTTCAGGCTTTGTGGGCTGATCTTTCAGACTGCAAATGTTCACTTCCATGCCTGTGCTACTTGCATCTGTTTTTTGTGGGGTTCTTGAACCTTTGCTTGCAGAGTTTGTCTCGTTGCTACTATCCCCTGGATCTCCAGGCAATCTTGGTTCTTCATTGGTGGTATTCTGCTCAGTTGATTCGTGGCTTATGACGCTGGTCTTCTGGACTTGACTGACTTCAATCACGTTCGCCACAACGATGGAACCATCGAGACTCTCTTCCTCAGTCACTCCTTCACCTTTAACCGAAGAGACAGTCTTGGGTTCAGCAGGGCAGCTGGAAGTCTTCTGCTCCCCAAACTCCACGTCCTCCTCATCCTCTAAAGTACAATCATGGTTGGTCACCAATATGGTAATCTCCTGGTCCAGGTTTCGTTGGCCAGATGCCAAGCACATCTTATCTGCTGGTTCCTCTGCTTGGTTAACACTCCTCTCTTGTTTGCATGCTGCCGCAGGTGGTTCATCGCTTTCGACTGCTGTTTGAGTGGAAAAGAATTCTTCTTCTAGTCGCTGCTCATGTGGAATTACTGACTTGATCTGATCTGATGTAACCTCTTGGTCAGGTTGCTCCTGGATGCTGCCACAGATCTCCTTTTGGACTCCTTTTTCATCAGTTACGTTGTCGTTCATAAGGGGCGAATAGTCATTGGTGTTTATACTTGTGCTGGTCCCCGAGCCAACTTTCCAAACTTCACTTTCTGTGAGAACAGGACCCTCCATGGGTTCAGAGATGGGTTTGTGTTGATCTGGAAGAGGGGGAGTAGAACGTCTGAGCTTCACGGTCTCACGCCACTGATGGTTTTGCTGGAAAAAATTCACATAAATGCATTAGTGCATTAATGCAGGTGCAATGAAAAAATGAGCACTTGACATTCATTTATGATGGCACACACACAAAAACAGTCATTTTTTGAAAACACTACATTAGGTCAAATTAATTTCAAATCTGATTGTTTTGTAATGATCTCAGGCACTGAAAAACAATCATGATTTATGTTCTTGAAATAATGATAACATAAAATTACACACAAACTTCGGTCTTACAATACTTACAGGAAGAATAGTATCGATTGCCAATAAACTGATTCCTCTTTTATCCCTTAAAACAGAGATCCAATTATATCATGGCAGCTGTCTGCTTCAGTTCATCCACACACACACACACACAGACACAAAACTTGTTTAAAAAAAAAAACTAGCAGTACCCTCTAAAAACAAAACTACGACGGCACACAGTGAGACCACAATTGAAAAACACCCCAATGACACATACCTCAGCTGCACGACAGATCAAACGCTGTATCCATGTTTTCAAAGATTTCACAGCCAAAGCATATCTTCACACTCCAAGCTCCTCTTTTAGGTGCTGATAATGATAAGAGGCAGGCTGTAGATGGTTTGTTTTCCAGAAGAATCTCAGTGGATGGATTTCACTGTGGCTGAGAGTACTGAAAGCTTCTGATTTTTAGTTTCCCTGGAAACCAGACTCAACCTGGCAGTGAGTGGTAATGAAATGACAAAGTATCTGTAGCTTTTTAATCAGAAGCAAATGATGGTGATTAAAATCCATGTGTGGAAAAAAATTTTTTTTAAAAAGTAAAATTAAAAAAAACAAAAAAACAATGTTCTTATGTAATAAAACCTCAGATACTGATTCCTCTTTTATCCCCTAAAACAGAGATCCAATTATATCATGGCAGCTGTCTGCTTCAGTTCATCCACACACACACACACACACAGACACAAAACTTGTTTAAAAAAAAAAACTAGCAGTACCCTCTAAAAACAAAACTACGACGGCACACAGTGAGACCACAATTGAAAAACACCCCAATGACACATACCTCAGCTGCACGACAGATCAAACGCTGTATCCATGTTTTCAAAGATTTCACAGCCAAAGCATATCTTCACACTCCAAGCTCCTCTTTTAGGTGCTGATAATGATAAGAGGCAGGCTGTAGATGGTTTGTTTTCCAGAAGAATCTCAGTGGATGGATTTCACTGTGGCTGAGAGTACTGAAAGCTTCTGATTTTTAGTTTCCCTGGAAACCAGACTCAACCTGGCAGTGAGTGGTAATGAAATGACAAAGTATCTGTAGCTTTTTAATCAGAAGCAAATGATGGTGATTAAAATCCATGTGTGGAAAAAAATTTTTTTTAAAAAGTAAAATTAAAAAAAACAAAAAAACAATGTTCTTATGTAATAAAACCTCAGATGAAATACATTTACTTTGGCAGACAAGATACTAAAAGGGTGCACCAGTAATGTCTTTGTGAGCTCTGGAACAAAAAAATGTATACAGTTTAGTTTTTCTTATATAACAGAATCAATATATAGCCTATAGAATGAATTCACATTTTCATCATTTTTTTTTTCCACATGAGACAAATAAGCTCGTTGAACGTTGAATGATCTGACATTTTCATCTTTTTTTTTCACATGAGAGAACAAAATTAGTGTAAAGTGGTGGACGATGTAGGTCACTATACTGCTGCAATTATGTAAAAGACCATCTAATTAATATTCTTTCTGAATTGTATTGAATTGCAGGCTGAATGGTAACTATAACATGGCTTTTTGGATTCATGCATGTGCTCGCACACTGGTCCATTGCACCTCACCATGCCATGGAGTGTGTTTCGGAGAGCTGTATTCTATCGCCTATGTTCTCACCATAAAAATCGAGGTCTTTTGCCAATCGCACGCTCCCACAGAATATTTGTTGCTTAGCAACCAGCCATGTACATGCAGGGGGGGTGGAGTGACTGTGTTCATGGTAATGGTGGGGGAGTGTTCAGACAACACATGCCATATTCTGAAAACAAGAGGATGCTGCCTGTCATTGCAGGCGAATGATGAGGAGGAGGAGGTGGATAGGGATGTAAAGAGGATGTGGAGGTGGAGAATACAGGGGAGAGGGCCAAAAGTGCTGGAGATCAACTGTAAATTAAGTCACGGTGAGAGACCTTTCCTCAGGATGACACTGTTTGACATTTGCGTCTACCACAGACATGAACGCTAATGGGTACATCTTGACTGCTTATATCTTCAATATACAACAGAATTATATATTTATTATTTA